TGTGTTAGATAAGACCCATTGCCCTATAGCCCATCAGTTTGTACATTTTGAAAGTTGCTTGCTTCAAACCCACCAATAGAAGCTTGCCAAGTTGTTCTTTTTGAAAGTTAACAGTTAAACTGACCAATCATGACTGTATAATTGTGTGGAATTGGCCTGAAATGTATAAAAACCCTGTTCTGTTGAACCTCAGCCCCTTTTCCCTTTTTTTTTTTTTTCTTCTGGACCTCCTTCCGCCCCTTCTGCTGCAGTTTTTGCCTGCTTCGGCCACCTTGGCGGTAAGCAGTGGCTGCCCCTCAGATGGCTGCTACTACTCCCCCGTCCTGCTGGGCTGGGATCCTAGGCTAGTTTTGAATAAATCACCTTTATGAGTTTGCATTGACTTTAGACTCCTGATGATTTTCTGGGAATCGCAAAATCCCGACACAACAATAGCACATTCTTAGAAACTCCATCAGAACCTCAAAGCAGGTAGTATTGGTCTTCAGCCAGTGTGTGCGTGAATGAATTCATGTCTGTGAGCTACATACATGAAAGCTGGGGCAGCTGTGTGGTGACGACATTCCCAAGACCCTCCAGCGTGCAGGCTGAGCAGCAGCAAGACGTGAGGAGTAGCCGGCCAAGCTACAACCCTGACCACAATTTTGAGGACTGAAAGGGGCTTCAGAGACCCAAAGGAAGTTATGGAATTCTGGATATGAGGTCTCAACTGCTCCAAATTTTTCTTTGCTGGGATTTAAAACCCAGGATGTGACCTATGACATCAGTTCAGCCAAGCCCTTAAATTTGCAGCAGACTTAACTCAGCGCTGGGGATGGTACATTCTTTAACAAGATAAGCAAGAAGAAACCCGTCTCTTTGTATAGGCACAAACGCCCTGCAAGTGGTTTAGAGTTTATGAAAACAGTGATACAGCCACCATGTACTGAGTGCTATGTGTGTGCCATAAACTACACTACCTACTTTCCAGAGGTAACCTTTCAAAGACCTATAGTTTAGGTGGCGGAGATAGTCCAACTCCAGAAATATGTCTTTACTGTGCCACATGTAGGTTAGAGGTTAGAATCCCAGACAGTGCAGATGTAGGACAGTTCTGTCCGTCGTGTTCTACTGCACAAAGCTGGCTCCTGCTGGGGTTCCTGTGATGGATGTGGAAGACAGGAAGGTGTGAAGAGTATCGTTCCTTTGCAGGCAAGGCCGCAAGGAATGTCCCGCTGTGTGGCAAGGCCCTGCGGATGTCTCTACAACACCTGAATGCAGCTCTGCCTCCCTTTGCATGGACACTGGACAACCCCATTCAGATTTCTGTAATCTATTTAGGCATTGTCTGTCTCTGCGGAGTTACTGTTAAATATCAATGGGAGCTTAGAAGCTGATGTTGCTGTTGCGTTTTTTAGCCAAAAAACTGTTATTGCTATTACAGCTGCATCCTGTGGCAATATGCTAATCAAGGGTGCTAACTCCCCTTTTAATCCTATGCTAATCAAGGGTGTTCTGTCTTCAGGTGTAGTGGAATCTATTCTTTCCCTCTTTCTTTGATCTTTTAGGTCCCTCCTGTGAAGCCCTTCCTTCCTTGACTGTCTCAACACCAAGCTGTAGAGTAATTGTAGTAGGAATGTGTTAGTGATTGATATGCACCATCCATTGAGAACTTTTTCCTAGCCAGGCGCCAGGTGCCAGGCACCAGGTGAATAACATCCTAGCCTTAGGTGAAACAAATGGCAGAGTTATCTTTAGAAACACCCACTTGACGATGACGTAAAAAGCCTGAGCCAGAGTTTGACTGATTTTGTATACATAAAGCAGACAGCTTTTGTGCATCGTCCATTATGATGAAGTCCTAGTGGTCCGTCTCTTTCTTTGTGCCTCATCCACGCACCCTTCGCGAGTTCCGAACTCAGCTGGAGCTGGACTCCGGCAGGCCCCCAAACCTGAGGCCCATTCTTTTTTAGCCTAAGGGATAAGCGAAGAGAAACTACTCATTTTTCTCTCCGTGTCCCTGTTGTGATCCATACGAATGGTGCTAATATGAGAACCTACTATTTCTGGCAACAACACTCCTGCAGTCAAAAGGTCAAAGATATTTCTTTACCGAAACCAATTTAAAAATAATACAGTATTTCAGAAGCATCCCCTATGCTTTCCAGTCTCTGTCTTGCCAAGGCCCTGCTTGTCCTTGCCAAGGCCAGCTGCCTCCCTCGGTCAGTGCACCTGTGCCTAATGAGCAGCCTGCTTTCAGGATACTCCCTGTGGCAGCTGAGCCCAATGACCCTGGAGGCTGGGCAGTGGCACAGGAAATTTTCCCAAGGAAGCTGGCAGCCTTACAAGCTGACTTGAAACACACACCGTTGCCAATGGATCATCATTTTCCGAGTATCTATGTTGTTTTTCCTGAGCCACTCCAGGAACCCCAGCTCTATGAGGTCCATCTGACCCAGCCGAGCCTGGCCGAAGCTCCTCACTGCAGACTGCATGTACTTGGCTGTGGAGCAGACTGTTCACTCGGAATTTTTTGTTGCCCTTTGCAACCTCTTAATCTTGGCACATTCCAGATCTTGAATTGTAAGCCACCAGAGTAAGAAGTTCGCTGTGTTCTCATGGATTTCATTTGTCTCTAAATATCTTATGATCCAGTGTTATTTTAAAATGAGAATGAAAATTAAAGTTGCCAATGCCACATTGTCCTTGGAGCAACCTGTGGTTGTGACCATGAACATGGTTATCAAGAGATGTGGGACCTGCTGCCAGTTTGCAACATGACCCAGCAGACAAGTCACACTGCCCTGGCCTCCTCTACAGGGTGTCCATTGGCAATATCACTGCCCATTGGGCATCACGGACACATGGTGAAATTAACAGAGATAATGAATTGGGAAGCCTTGCTGACAGGGTGGGGGCTGAGAACAACACGTTCTAGGCTTGACCACACAGGTCCTGCAAGTTGTATGTGATCAGGTGACTTTCCAGGAAGGGCTTTGAACTCCTTGAGGACAAGAACTGTGTCTCACCCACTGCAGCATACCCAGAAGTGTAGCACCTCCCCCAGTGTGCAGTGGGCGTGTGTGATGAGCCAATGGTGTGCATTCCTATCTCACCAGTGGGCATATACCCCAGTCCCCCTGGTGACCTCTAGCACCTAATGGTGAGGGAGCAGGTCAGCTGGGAAAAGGGAACAGGCATTCTCCTGAATTTGGTTGGAGGCATTGGTAGTGGCAGCATGGGGCTCTGTTCATCTCCAGTCCCACTAAGGCTGCTCTTGAGTGATTTGGACATTAAGCACAGGCCGTATATGGAATGTTATGTGTTCTCTTGCAAAGACCCTCCTGCAGATTTTAACTCAGTAGCTCCCTGTGCCATCCAGGTGCCAGGTTCTATAGGGAGCAGGGTTTCTGTGGCTCCATCTTGCAGGCACCGATTTCCTACCCAGGAAGGATGGCCATTCTCAGACACCTTCCTGCAGTAATTGACTTTGCTTGAATTGGCTTCAGGATTTGCTAAATGGCAAAGAGGAGGCCCCTGGGTACAGTAGGGTTTGATGAGCTGTAGAGTATCACTGGGTGAGAGGTGGGGAGCTGTCCGACCTGCAGTAGGATGCTCAGAAAAATGTTTCTAGCTTGGTTTCCTGTACATTCTTAGAACCGAGTACTCGGGTGGGTGAGAGGAGCCCCATACACGTCCCCACGGTGTGAGATCTCGTGATCACACTGGACCAGAACTCAGCAGTCCTGGCTGACCACTATCAGCACTGGGTGCCTAGGTAAGCTGCGATGGCCACAGGGCACCTTGTCCTCCACGTCGCCTCCATGTGTCTGCTTGTGATGTTGCAACAGCTACAGCTTTTCCTAGGTGGAGTGTACGAAAACCAGATCTGGAAGGAGGGCTGACCAGGAGCGGGGCTGAACATGGCGGCTCCCGGAGGGAGGAAGCACTTCTCTCCACTGAAAAGGAGTCAGGCTCCAGGGAGGTGGGAAGGGGCTGTTCATCCTTCTCCGAGGCCACGCGTGGGTTCTGCTTTCTTATTACGTACCTGTCCAACCCCAGCACCCCAACACCCACCCGCTCTGATCCCTTCCCCTCCTTTGGGAAGATACCAGGAAATATCACAGCCTAGGCCCAAGTCCTGGTTTCTTTGGTGTCAATACCAAGGCTTCAGGCAACCCTGCTGGGACCTCTGGAGGACTAGGTGTTTGTGGGAAGTGATACCAAGTTTACCTGGAGTGGCACAAAGAGCGTGCGTGCGCACACACACACACACACACACACACACACACACCGGCTTCAGCAAGGATGGACACACAGAAAGGAGGATACCAAGTGAACTATGTGACCCTTCGTTTTTCTCTTCTGTAACAAACACACGGGCTGAGAAATGGTCAAGTCAGTCCAGCCTGCTAGCCCTCTCCAGGCTGCCCCAGCACACCTGGCTTTCTATTCAGCAACCAAACCTCGGGCAAGACCACCCTGCCTGGCTGTGTTCCAGCCCTGACCATCAGTCTGCACAGTGGTGCTGGGGTCAGGCCGACCATGCACAGCACCCTGAGCAGTGGGGCAGTCGGGGTTGGGGAAGCACCAGCATACCATTCGTTTTTCCCATGTCTTGAATGGCCAGTAAGTGCTGACACTGTCCTTGGTGCTGGAAACAGGTTTGCCTCTTTCCAGCCACAATCCCTATAGTCTCCCATGTGGTCTCCCTGGCCATCCTGCACGCCAAGTATGTGACCTGCTGCTGCTACAGCTGACCAATCCACACTTGGACCAGTTCACACCAGGAGTCCCACTAGAATTCCCAGCAGCTCCCTCGCTCAGAGCCCAAGGTCCAGGATCACCTCTAAGAGGGTAGTGGACAGCCCCTCAAGGTAACCTTCACACTCAGAGTGAGGACCGCTGGCTTTGCCTTCTCCCCTCAGCTCCCAGCATCCCTTCAGCTGCTGCTGGAATTGTGTTTTCAGAACCTCAGTTTTGAGGAGGCCACCTTTTGAGAGAGTCCCACCCGGGAGAGCTGGGCCATGCTCACACATTCTCCCTGCAAATAACTCCCTCCCAACACACACCAGCGCGGGTCGGCCTGGGTCCCAGTGCGCTACAGCGTCTCCTCCTGGGCTCCACGGTGAACACGCTGGTGCTTGAGCAGGTGCTGCTTTTGGCTGAAGCCGCGGCCGCAGGTGGTGCACAGATAGGGCCGCTCTCCCGTGTGGTTGCGTTGGTGCCGCGTCAGGTTGGGCTTCTGGCTGAAGCGGCGGCCGCACTCGGGGCACGGGTAAGGCCGCTCGCCCGTGTGGATGCGTTGGTGGATAGTCAGTGCCGACCACCACGAGAAGCTCTTGCCACATTCATTGCAGATGAACTGGCGGGGCTCGCTGGTCCCTCGGCCCCAGGACCCTTCTCCGACTCCCTGTGGACGCTGAGGGCTGCACGGTGGTGCAGCCACGCCCTGGGGATCCTCAGCTTTGGGTTCCGGGATTGGCTCTGCACCTGTCACCTCAGGCCCCGGGCACAGCGGCTTGGCAGCAGTAGCATGAGCACGTAGGTGGGCGCGTAGTGCAGTTCGGTTGGGGCAGCTCTTCCCGCAGCTGGGACAAGGTAATGCCTGGGCGCCGGGCATGTGTGTGCGCTCGTGTTTGAGCAGGTGCTGCTTCTGTCGGAAGCTGCGGCTGCAGTGCAGGCACTGGTGCGGCCGCTCGCCCGTGTGGTTGCGCAGGTGCCGCGTCAGGTTGGGCTTCTGGCTGAAGCGGCGGCCGCACTCAGGGCACGCGTAGGGCCTCTCGCCCGTGTGGATGCGCTGGTGGATGTTCAGCGATGACCACCACGAGAAGCTCTTGCCGCACTCATTACAGATGAACTGGCGCTGCTCACCGGGACCTGACAGGCCTAGAACTGCAGTCTGTGTCCCTGCATGGCCCCACCAACGCTGGCAGAGCCCCAGCCAGGCCCACTCCGGCCGTCCCCGGGGAAGTCCCCGCTGCGGGCGACAGGCCCGGTGTGCCACTGCATCCCGGAGCTCGTGCAGACTAGTGTGCGTGCCCTGGCGGTCCCGGGCATGCGCGCGCTGATGGATGCGGAGACCCACCTGGTGGCGGAAGCAGCGCTCGCACTCGGGGCACGAGTGGGTAGCGGGCCGGGAATGGGTCTTCTGATGCTTGAGCAGGTGCTGCTTCTGGCTGAAGCACCTCTCGCACTCCGGGCAGCAGAAGGGCCTCTCGCCTGTGTGGTGTCGTTGGTGGCGCACCAGGTTTGGCTTCTGGCTGAAGCGCTTGCCGCATTTGCCGCAGAGGTAGGGCTTCTCACCTGTGTGGGTGCGCTGGTGAATCTTCAAGGACGACCACCAGCTGAACCGTTTTCCGCAGTCCAGGCACACAAAGTGACCCTCGCCGGCAGAGAGTGCCGGGCTCAGGGCCCCGGGGGCGGCAGGAGCTCGGCTTGCCAGCCCTGCCTCCTGCTCAGTGTGAGGGGTCCACCTTGGACCGCCAGTCTCCTCCTGCGTCCCCAAGGCTCGAGGCTTCCCGGTGGTCTGGCATGGCGAGAGGCCCCGGCGCTGCTGGAAAATGTTTTCCTTGTCTCTGTCTGACAGCACGGCTTGCGGCACCAGCGTCTGCAGCAGCCACTCGGGCTTCTCTTGCTTGATCTTCATCACCAACCCGTGGAGAGGGCACTCCTGCTGGCAGGATTGAAGGGAGGAAAGGCCAAGGGCTCACGGAGAGCTGGAGAGGTGAAGACAGAACAAAAGAGAAGGATGTAGGGGGAAAGAAACAAAAGAGAAACCAGCGGAGAGGGACTAGAGAGTGAGGTTGGGAAGCGAGACAAGGAGCAACATCCAAGAGAAGAAAGATGAATGAAGTACTCCACCGCAAAGGGCAGGGGTCCCCCAGACACTGGCTGCGCACTTCCTCTAACCTGAGGCCCAGGAGATGCAGGGAAGGTTGAAGCAAGCAAGCTAGGGAAATCTCCAGAGAACAAGGAGAAAATGGCCAAGTTCATAGCATCCCTACGGATCCCATTTCTAAAGGGATGGAGTTTGCCGAACAAATAGCATGTCCAGGTCTCCTCCAGTGGGGGTGGCCAGACGTTGGATCACTGCCATCACACTGGCTCCTTGGTGAACTTCTAGAAGTCTCCTTGTACGTGCATGATCCAGAACAATGCACACCAGCCTGAAGCTGCTGGCCACCCTCAGGGATGATGTAGATGACAGCAGGGCGGGACGCAGGGAGCCAAAACAGCCTTTGCTCTGTCTGTTACCTGAATCTGTGAGAACACTCACATTTTGTAATCTAAAAGTCCTTTAGATTTATAAAAGACATGAAGAAAAAAAAAAAGCCTCTCATCTCTAACCTAGTGGCCTTTAGTTCTAAGGCCACAAAGAATCTAGTCGCCTTTGTTATGTCTGACCATCGCAGGGTGGGGAGGTCGTGGGAGAGGCCTGTAAGATGCCAGTTCTTCTGCTGATCAGTGTGCTCTGGAAGTGAGCCCCCAGGGGCTTGGTCATAAAAAAATCATTTTTTAAAATACGTATTTTTTTTTTAATTTGGAAGGTGGGATTTTATAGAGAAAGAAGGCGAAACAGAGAGATCTTCCACCCACTGATTCATTCCCTAGATGACTACAACAGCCAGAGCTGAGCCAATCTGAAGCCAGGAGCTTCCTCCAGTTCTCCCACATGGGTGCCGGGGCTCAAGGCTTTGGAACATCATCTGCTGTTTGCCCAGGCCATAAGCAGGGAGCTGGATGGGAACTAGAGCCACTGGGACACATATGGGACGCCAGTGCCACAGTGCAGAGAATTAGCTTGCTGTGCCACTGCATCGACCCAGAAATTATTTTACTAAGAGGAAACATTTGAACATAGAAATGCTGACTTAAACTACAGAGTGGCAGAGCTTGAACACCCAAGTCCTGATGATATGCCCTTAACTGAAAGGTAGGCCAACAGAAGTATCAATGGCACTGTGTGTCCAACAAGGCAGCCAGGTAGCTCATTCAGAACACACTCGACAGCAAGGGCATCACTGGTCCAGAGTGACGGGGTATCGTACAGTGCCTCAGCATCCCAGGACTCCTAGCTTTGCCTGGCTGAATTTGCTTAGGGCATGAACCAAGTAGTTGCCCTCCGACAAAAAGATGACCCTTGGGTTCTCTCAAGTCCATGCGGTGAAGGGTGAATGGCAATCAGGCACGTGCCCCAGCTGAGTGGCAGTAAGGACAGTCACTCAGGGTGCTGGGTAACCATCACCATCGGCTATTTCAGGAAGTGTGCGTCACCCTCTGAAACTCTGCACCCATGGAGCGGCAGTGCCGACTTAGCACCTTTTTATTTTGTCTACACCATCCCGTGTGTGATGACTGCATAGCAGCATCATAGTATCTGGACTCCCTTCCGAGGGCAGACCAGGGCTGAATATTGCAGCCCTGAGGGGATGAGTCCTGGACAGGCTCATGGTCAAGTCCCCGTGCACCTCTGTGTCAGGCCACTTGTCCAGGAGATGTGGAAATTGACTGCTGTACTTTACCACACCTGCCTGAGGTGTTAGCTGTTAAGGACTGTCACCCCTAGGGACCCCAGGAGCTGCAGCTGCCAGAAATGAAGACGCTGACAACAGCACTTGCTGTGTCCTGCTCTCCTACCCCATGCTGGTTCTCCAGATCTCATTAACAGCAGCCCCTGCTCTACCACTTAGAGGATACCTCAGTTTCCATACTCTGTGTGTGTGTGTTCACCTCCTGCAGAACTAACAGAATGCACTTTGTCATTTTTTTAAAGCCCCATAGCTTCTGACTTTGCTCCATTCTTTCACATTTTGACTTGACCTTCCAAGATCCTGGACCTCTGCCAGCATGTCGATATGCTAAAAGGTACTGATTGAGGGCAGTGAATTCACCTTGGCCATGGAGAGGACAAGGGCAGGCAGGCCTGGGAGGGAGAGGCTCCTTCTCCACCCCCGTCTTCTATGCTGTTACCAGCTAGGTGGCTCTCTACCCCTGGGAGCCTCCTGAGGTGTCAGCAGGGGCTACGTCCCAGATCTGCTGTCTGTGGGTGGGATGGGAGGACATGAATTGATCTGTGGGAGAACAAAAGCCAGGATGTGAGCCCCTCTCATCTTAAACCCTACTCTCCCTGCTTTTCACAAAGCATTTTAGATCCAGGAGTTCGGCTGAAATGTGCAGGATTTTTAATCGCATGCATACCTGCCAGGCAGGTCAAATAGGTATAATTCCCATTTCAGGAGGGAGAAACTAGGCCAGAGAGGACTCCTGATGTGCCTCAAGCAGCAGAGGCACCTGAATGGTAGAACTGGACAAAAACCTGGCAGCCCCTTCTTCTAGACACCCCTGCCAGGGTGCTGCGGAGCTGTCCACCTGAACGAGCATGGATGTATACAGCCAAGCCCAGCCCTTGATGTACATGGAGACTTAGCTCCACCCCCCACACCTTGTTTTAATGCCCTAAGTCTTCAGGCCTGGAACATGGCAGGTGACAGACTATGCCTTGCCCTGCCTCACCCCCTTGCCATTTCTACTAAAATAGCTCCTTCTCAGCGTAGCCTTCTACACAGGCACGGACCTAACGCCACCCTAAGCCTTTCTGCTGCCTGACATGGTTTCTGCTTGTCTATTTATTCCTCACCAACACATGAACAGGAAATGTTCATGCTCGCTGCTGAATGCACTAGACCGAGGACGTTGCCTGGCCTGCAGAGGGCACTTACCAAACATGCTGCCAGCCACTGGGCTGCCACTCCGGGAGGGGCTCATGGTGGCTTCTCAGCTCACTGTGTCCACGCTGGCGGCACAGGGGGTCTGCGCTCATGGTGCCCACGCTGGCAGCACTGGGGGGGTCTTTGCTCACGGACCACACTGGTGGCCTTAGGGGTCTGTTTTCACCTGCCTGCGCCCAGGATGCAGCAAGAACCTGTGGCCTGGCTATCTCCCTGGCCACCCATTGTTCATCCCTCACACTGCCAGGAGCCCATGTCCTCTTCTAGGCACCCAGCTCTGTGACTACCCCTGGCCCCAGAGAGCCGCATGGCACCCAGGCAACCCTCTTCCTGTCCCAGGACCCCTTCCACAATCTACAATCTGGGGACAGGTACTCACATGCGGAATCTGCACCTACAGAGCTAGTGAGGCTGTGGACTGGGGAACAGAAGTCTACCAAAGAAATAAAATAAAACAAGAACCATCCCCCCTTACTCTTAAGGTCCCCTACAGTTTAGCCTAAGAATGTGTGTGTGCAGTGTGTTACCGGCTCTGTACAGGGCAAGCTGCTCCATCTGTAGATTGCCTGGGAGAAGGGCCACATTGCAGTATCTCCATACATATTCGGGGGAGACAAGGGGAAAACCTGTTTTCTTTATCTTTGGCTTGTGGGCCGACCTTCTCCAGGTTGGCAAGAGATTTTCTTTGGAATTGTTTTTCCTGACAGGGGCCTGTTGAGCCTCCTCCTGTGGCTGCTCACAGACCCTAACTGGCTTGGGGTACAGCATGAAGATGTGCAGTGTGTGCAGTGAGGGCTGAAGGGCACTGAACCCTCCCCAATGCTCCCTTCCTCCCAGGCCTCAGGGAAGTCACACTCCAACGGGACTTATGGTCCCGCAAGAGAGGGACCCAAAGACTTGGGGTCCAGATGTGGGCCATGAGTAGCCGGCCAGAACAGAGGGATGGGCTCAAGCTACACCCCACAACTGGAAGGCCCTATGCCAAATGGAAGAGGGCTCTGTTGCACCTGCTTAGCCTTCCAGGCAGTGACCACAGGTGACAGCAGGGCCCCATCCTGGGCGACTGATACTGGCCTCCTCCTCCTGCTGCCTTGGCCCCTCTGTCCCCGACAGCACCAGGGCTCAAGGGAGAGCTGCCCTGTCCTCGTCCATGGAGGAGTACAAGTAGGAGTAAAGCAGAAGGGGACACAGAGGACAGGAATGGGGGTGCTAGGCCACATCTCTGGAGACCCTTCTCCACCTGTGTGCTGGAAAACAGCACCAGTGGGCGTCCTGCAGCCAGAGCCCTGGGAGAGCCACACCAACAAACTCCTCTCCAGCTCACCCATGCCTCCGGGCGGGGGAGGGGGGCCCTCCCTTGGACTTCTTTTCCATTCTGCCCCTCACCTGCTGTGCCACTTAGCCCTCCCCTCCCTCCACCCCGCTTCTCTAGCTCACCAGCCTGATACATCATTCAGCTGACTGGAGGAACGCCCAGGAAACAGGCTGCCCAGGAAAATGCCCTGGCAGGAAACACAAGCCGAAGGCCTCTGAAAGGCCACTCAGTCCATCACACGGGGATGGTCCCAGACTCACCCCCCTTCCCTTCCGCTGCTCAGTAAGTCCTGGGGCAGAGGCCCACACGCAGGAGATGAGCCTGGAGACATGGTCCTGGTCACCTTCCCCCTTGCCACCAGCTGGCTCTGAGCCCAGTCCTTCCCACACTGAGCTGATAGGAAGGCCTCAGCTGAGCCCAGCTGCCATGACAACTGCCCCACCACACAAAGATGGGATTGTGGTCTGCGACAGGTGGCGAGGCCTGGGGGCAGAGGAGGTAACAAAGGAGCTTTGGTTGAAGCAGAGGCTGGGGTGGGGGGCAGGGAGGGGACAGATAGCAGCCAGGGTGAACAGCAAGGCCACACGCCAGGGCAGACGGCTCAGGGACCTGTGCAGACCTCCCCAAATCTGCCCAAATGACAGGCCCCTGGAAGAGATTCGGGCCCCAGGTGGTGAAGGAAGAAGTGGACCTCTCGTATCCTTTGTTGTCAGAGCAGCAAGACTGCCACAGGTACTGCCTCCCCCAGCCCTGGCCAAAGGGCCAGCCATCAGGTCCCTGGCAGCCATCAGTTGTCCACTCACACCAACTACTCTCGCCCTCCTAGGAGACCCTTCCTCAGGTCCCCTGGGCCCTGAATTCCCTCTCAGGTGGTTGCATCCTTGCCAACCACAGCCTCTTCAACCCACCCTCTCCTCACAGGCTCTGACCTCCATATCAGGGAGGTCTCTAGGGTTTGTGGAAAATAAAATCAAAACTATTCATTTACTTCAGTGCAAACATTTTGAAATCCATGCATGGTCTTTTCATAACCCTATGCTCCCCAGGAACTTTCTAAAGCCCCCTTGCTCATCCACAAGCAGTTCTGCTTTCCCTGTAGGACCCTCACTCATCCAGGCTAGCCCCCAGGGAGCAGGGCAGGATTCTCAAGGAGCCAGTATGCACTGCTATGCCAGGTGTGCACTGCTATGCCAAGAGCACCTCTAGACTTCAGACGGGATGTGTCTCCTTGTTTATCTGTGGCATGTCTTATGGAAAGAGGGACCCTACAATGACAGATAGCGTGTCACCATCGGCTGAGCTCTATGCACTGAAACTTGGCACACATCAGCCATGTCATCTACCATGAAGGAAGAGATGTCAGTATCAGGGTCACACATCTGCTAAGTGCTGGGGCCGCAGCTGACCTAGGGCGAGCCTGGCCTAAGCTGACTTTCTCAAGAGGCACCTATGGCCAAAGCAACCTTGAGCTGCCAGGCTCTCAACTTCAGGAGTTGGGCTTTGAGACCCACAGGTGATTAACATTTAAACATTTGTTTTCTTCATCACACCAGACACACGGCAGAGAATTTTTTCTGCTTTTGCAGAAAGGAACATGCAGAAAGACCTTGTTCTGCCCGGTGGCTGGCATGCAGTAGATAACTCAATGTAGACAATGAGGGAAATGGAACTGACGGTGGACCCTAAGGAGGCAGCTCTCCATCCCTTCCCACACACCCCTCCCCGTGGCCAACACTGTTCTCCACCTGTTGTGACTTCCATGCAGGCATATCAGGAACTGATGCTCACTCCAAATGCACACACAAACACACCTACATACAGTCATATGAGAATTCGTCAACCATGGAAAATGGATGAAAAGACAAGTTTTTTTTTTTGGATACAAAAAAAGTTTAATCCAGACATAGCTTTTATTTTTTTTTTATTATTCATGAACTTTTGAAGACCCTTGTATTAACTTTTTTTGCACAGCAATGAGCTTATCTTTTCATTCCATTTCCCATGAATGTATCCAAGGACCTCCGTATCTAAGTTCAGTTACTAAGGACCTCCGTATCGAAGTTAAGTTCAGTAAAAAAATCAGACTCATAACACACCTAAGATCCAGAAAGACACAAATGTAGCAGTATGAACCATGAGTCCTGCCAGCACACAGCATCACATGGCACACCTGTGCAAGCAGAGATGCAGATCCACCATGGCACAGGTCTCATGGCACGCTCACAGCCATCCTGCCTCACTCCAGGGGCCAG